AACATAGCTTGTGCAGATCTTTGTTGCACTTTAACTCCACTCATTTAGAACTTTGCACACCTCAGTCGTCAAATTTGGAAAGTTGTTGGTTGGTGCTTGGTACATGTGTTTGAGCTAGGTGTCTGGTCGTCGATTGTCTCAGTACCATTGTATGATTGTGCCTTGTTGTCGCAGTTCTGCATAACTTTAATCTTTGATGCCCATTGCCGGAGACGATGATAGCGATACTACAACAGAAGCCGTACTAAGTTGTGCTAGGATTGCAGCATGCAACAGCTTGCAAGGCTGAAGAATTGACCAATATCGTGCTCTCGCGATTAGATCCCTATCTCGAATTTGCCCCAGTCTCTAAGAGCCAGTAAAAAAAGAAACCCGTCTCTTGTATAATGCCCCCCCCCTTCCCCACCCTCCCCACCCTCCCGGCTTGGAAACAAGCTCATGTGCAAGTTTGGTGATCTTTTGATACTGCTTTTGTCCATGTCATTGAACTGGTGGTTTCAAAATAAAAATCACAGTTCTTGCTGCCCTTTTTTTTGAGTTTGATTGGTTTCAGTAAACTTTAGGCTCTGTTTCGTGCTTTCTTTGCTTTTATGCGGGATGAAGTAAATGCGCCAGTGCATGCAATACCGTGTCTAAGGGCAATTTTTTGGAATTTTTTTTCTTTCTTGAAAATCAATCACAGGGGTCTAGAGAACACCTCTGTGGAAGATGAAGTTGGATATCACATTTGAAAGTACATAGAGACCATGATTTCTATGGCATTGTCCAACATAGAATATGCCTTGTATAATGCATTATCTACAGTGTCGCTGAAAGAAGCAACAGTTTTGCGTATCAGCCTTTAGAATTGGCCAAGACATTCAATAAAGGCTGCCGTGTTCTCCAGTCAAAACCGGGCAACATTGTCCAGCAAGTTCTTGCGACGTTGAGCTAACAAGCCTTCCCTCGCGTTCTTTTTGTACAAAGACAACATGGTCACAACGGAGTGGCTCCGTTGCAGAATTCTTTTCATCCTATGCACGAGGCGAACGAATATCGTCCTGGAGCAGCTCACACTTGTTGCACATATCCATCCGTCGCGTCATGAACTCGATGGACTTGCATTAATTTTCTTAGTCCACAGATACAAAAATATACGGTAACCCAAGGTTTGCGATTCACCAGACTGCTCGACATGTTCCGAAAGGACAAACTTGTAGCCGACAGATGTAGGTAAGTTTATGGTAGATTCCCCACCTCTCCCTCTTGGTGCAGCAGACAGCGGGAGGCTGAACACTCAGCTGTAGTTCAGAATAAACTGCTGCGCTCTGTCTCCCGCTTCTGCACTAAATTTATTCCAAGGCACATTGACAGATTTCTATGTGCACCAGGATGACAGCTATTGTTCTCCTTGCCGGTCCACTTGCACACAGTCCTGTTCTGCCAACCAAAATCATAGAGCTGCATAAACACGGTTCCACACACGATGTATCCCATCACAGTTTATCCAAATGTGATGCGCGTCCGTTCCATTGCGGAAGCTGTCGACTGATGCACGACAGTCGACAGGATCGTCATGCGTGCAGCGCAGCCAGCACACCAATATAAAAAATGCCGAGGTCCTTGGATTTCATCGTCGTAATGGAGGATTGCGCTTGACGTGAAGCTGCTGAAATGGTAGTTTCGAACGCAGCCACAGCCTTCGAGAATCAGTGAGTCCACAGCGGCAATGCTCTGAAGCGCGTCCTGCTCATCGTCGCTTGCAGAGTCTACAGAATCTTCGCCTAATTCATCCGCTCTCGACTCGCCTTCAACCTCAACACAGGAGTCTTTCACTCCCGGACGCTTAGCTGGGGCTTCGTCAGAGTCACTGTGAGCAGTACAGCTGCTAGTTGCCGACTGCTCCGACCCATGACTTGCCAAATAAATTGTCGTCTTCCTCGTCGATAGTAAACCTTGCCGATCTCTTCGGACGCGCCGACGATAATCACGCGAGCGGCACAGCTCAACCGACGTGCTGCTCGGCGTCTGCCGCGAGCGTGTCTACTCAGAGGCCCTTCCTCAAGTGCTACTTCCATTCCAACTCCTCCTGCGCCGTCACGTCCATGATGAGTGCAAGTCGATCGCTTGTCGCTTCTCTTGTCGTCTTGAGATCGATTAGGAATGACATTCCTAATGTAGACAAGATCCGCGATCGAGCCACAAAAAAATATAACTCTTCTTTCCGAGCGATTTTCTCAAAATTTTGAAAGAAATCGGTTTCCCCCGAAGACACGTTTTCGCATGCACTGGCCCAAATATGCCAGCATTGAAAACATATCACCCTCTCTTGAACAGCGCCCCATCTGTGGTGGACATTAAAAAAATAGTGCACTTATCGCTCGAGTACGCTACTACTCAAAGTGGTTTACACGCCACAACTATTTGATGTATTTTTTCTGACCAATGAATTCCTACTTGTTGGACCTTTTTCTCGATATTTTGCCGCACACACATAACACCACCTACTTCGGCATGCACTGGTTATTGGTAAAAACCCAGGAGAATTAGGGACACGTCAGGACGAGAGTAAGGTTGCGCTTGGTGGACCAATTTCAGAATTTTAATGACAACCATGTTGGTACTTTCTCCGACTTTTTTTTGACTAATTTTCGCTCCTGTTCTGTTGCTCTCTTGGCATGAAAGACCGACAGATGACATTATTGGAGCCATAGGAAGGCATGATTCACATTCTCGAAAGACGACAGTCATCGCAAGGCAAGGATGTCGTGCTGTAAAGCAATGGGAGTGACGATGGTTTGTATTTTGTCCAACAGGCACATTGCCATGCAACAAAATAACTGGGCTAACTGTTCGTCGTTGACAGTTTTTGGTTCAGAATGAGAAAGAGAAGGGCAAAGGTACTGAGGAGCAAGAATAGTATGACAGGGATAGCAGCTAGCTTTTTTGGAATCTGCGTCATCCCCGAAAACACCAGCCAAAGTGCAAACAGGACAGCAAGATGCCAAAACTCCATAACGCAAAGAAGTGACTCACTTCGCGCAGCACAGCAAAGCTAAAAAGTTCAAAATCGAAGTCGTCGTCCGCTGCCGCGTATTCTACGTGGAAGATCTTGCTCTGTTCAGCAACCTCCACTCCGATGTCTCCTTGAAGAGATGCTCATCAATTATGTTCTTGTCCTCTATCCTAGTCCAAATCCTGCCTTGCCCATGCATGACTCTCATGAAATGCCCGCACTAAATAGCCTAAAAATAAGAATATTTGATATCATACTTCTCTCATAAACTATGATAATACCCATTTCATATCCCCTCCCCTTCATAAAATTAATAACTACCGTTTTCTTTCCTTTCATTTCATCTTCTTTTCTGTTCTTTTCTTCTTCATACACATTTTAAACATTTTCATCATATTGTGACAGCCGTGGGCCAATAGGCCCGGTGAGAAGGCAATCTTGCCTGTTCATACGGTGAAGTAAAATAAAGAAACAACAACAACAACAACAACAACAACAAGCTGTACTGGGATCAACATGTAGATCGACCTGCTACTTTGGTTGGTTCCAGCGGTGATGAATCGACCAATGGCAACTTAGACTGAGACTCTATTCCCATCAATCGATCTTGTAGATTTATGAATACATGTCCATTGACCATGTTGAAGTATTTCCCTTCCAATAATACATTTTCGTCGAGCAGAATTACTCACAGAAAAGTCACGTGAAAAAGTCAAGAATGTTTGGTTTCCGGAGGACGTAATTTCACCACCAGCCCCCCCCCCCCCTCACACGAACACACATGCACACACACATACGCACACACACCCTTGTACTTGTACTTGTTGCGTACAGCCAAAACTGGTCACGTGGGTCTCCCCGGGAGAGGGGAGAGGGACCCAAAAGGAATCTTGGAAAGATGACTCAATTGGCTACTGAACCGCCGAACGGCCGACCCCCCCTGAAATCCCCAAAACTTCGGGGAAATCACCCTAAAATCCCCAAAAGTATACAAAACTCTGGGCTAACAGATATGTATACTTAAAATAGAAAGTATATGAACCCTGGACTCAACAAAGGTGACAGATACAACATTACACCTTCAAGCAGCCGAGCCCGTTGGCAACACACCGAACACAATCAGGCATAAATGTACCCACCAACCGAACTGGCTGGCACCACACACGCACACACCTACACACACGGCACACACACACACACACACACACACACACACAAACAAAAACGCACACACACACAACGGTTCTGTGCTTTGTGGCCTCATCAATACAGCACTGGGGGAATAGGGCTTAGCCTGATAGCAATGACAAGTGAAAAGCTGAAGAATTGACCAATACTACTCAGCCTGGTTTACACCGCGCAGCTTTTTGAAGTGTTTTGTTTTCCTGGGCAGTGAATTCCTACACCGTTTCTTGATATGTGTTCCTTGTAATGAAACACCGTGCACATAGCACGGTATGTTATGAAGACCACATGGATAACTTCTTCAACACTGTTCATATTAAAATAGCAATGAAAAATATCAATTGTGCACTCATAACCATGTATAAACAATTTAAAAAAAGTTTGTCCACACCCACTCACAGCTGCCACATTCATCTACTGCTACCATTCTCAGATACACTGCAAAGGTTCACACTACTCGCGTTATGCATAACCGCTAGCTGTGCTGCATTCTCATGCTTCTTTTCATATTACTCTAGCTATATAACTGGTTGTTTTAGTGATTTTTATTATGTGACGATGTTCCACTGATGATAGTCACACGAAAACGTTCTGGAATTGTTTCATTTTAATTGTTTATACATGGTTATGAGTGCACAATTGATATTTTTCATTGCTATTTTACGACTGTTGTCTCCTCGTCGGTTATTTAAATACTGTTCATTTTTTCTCCCATTATGTGAACAGATTGTATGATGAATACTGATTGGCCAACAAGCTAGTATGATTTTCACCTGGACAGGATTGTTAACTTAATATGATCTCTACTGTGTATCTACAGGTTGCTATACAAAATCACTACAGGTCCGTTCGTGATAGCTGTACATCATTTTATTCTGGTAGCCAGGGTAATGGCAGGAGGCAGTTCAACGGTCCATTTGGCATCACAATGAGCAACGATGGAAAGGTCTTTATCGCTGATTACAAGAATCATCGGGTGAAGGTTAGTCTATAGAAACCAGCACACAGATCTATCTCATTACACAATTTTCATCATCTTCTTGATGTACAGCAAGACATGTAAACTGCATCTGCAGTATTACTCTACAGGAAGTCATTGGTCTGGTAGATAGTGTTATGAACCCACATTTCCTTATGATAGTTTCTCCTCTCCTAAAAGCCATCATACCATAGGAAGGTGTGAAACGATCTCTTGGATCCCCATATTCTATTTGCATAGCGGAGCTTTGGGATTCGATACAACAGTGTATACCAGCCCGAAATCGGGTTTTCCTTTGCTAGAAAAAATGGTAAAAGAAAACTGCCCCACAGGTGATCAATCAGCTCAAACGCGGAAACTCTAGCTTCTTTGAACTCGGATGGTGAGCCAATATAGTTATGATGAAGAAAGGAAAAGGACAAAATGTTACGAGTTATGACAAACTGTCCACCAACGTAACCAGATCTTATACAGTTAGCAAGTGTCTTGGACCTACTTGGACCTTTCTAAACCTGAGCCTTCCAAGTTGGAAGGTTGTTGGTTTGCACCTTGGAGAAGTGTTGGAGCTAGGTGTCAGGCCGCCGAATGTCTCATTACTCCTTGTCAGTTTTGTGCCATTTTGTCGCACTCGCTGACTGTATAAGATCTGGTTACGTTGGTGGACAGTTTGTCATAACTCGAAACATTTTGTCATTTTCCAGTCTAGCTTCTTCTTCATCTTTTTTTCTTTGCTCGAGGAAATGCTTCGTTGAAAGTTTCTGTTTTGAGTTTTTGGTATGGAATGCGCACCTCAGGATGTTTTTTCGCTAGTCCAGAGGGCTCTGGGCTAAGCCTTGCGCCCACTCGAGAGGCGTTTGGCATCTTTGGAATGCCACAAAAGTCGATGCGGCAGTGAAATTTTGAGTCCAACTCCAGGCAAGAGCATGACTCGCGGATCGTGGATAGTACATGTACCCCGGAAACTGATCCACTCCTGATCCCAGTTGCTTCTCAATCGGCTGACTCCTCTTTGGCGAGGTCTTCTCTGCCTGCTCAGGCTTCTGGAGCCGGTCTTGAGCATATGTGTGGCGGGTTCGTTGATGGCGACCTGGTAAATAATCCCACCCTGAAGTCACTTGCTTCTTGGTCCACGTCGAGAGAACCACCTAGGCTACAACCTCTTCCCTCAAACCTGTGTGGTCCTGAAGATCCAGCAGGTCTGGCACAATCAAGCCACCTGCCGCTTGTACGATGCTATCTGGTGTGGCAACTGATGATTTGTACTCTCAGTCTTGTAGCACACATAGTCTGGAGTCTGCTGTGTGGATCACAATACTGACTGGCCAGTGGATGACGGGGATGAGGAGGAGAAAGGGTTTACCCGATATGTTTCGTACGAAACTGCCAAGCTTCCCAAGTCATGTCTTCCCTCAGAACTCCGACGCAAATCCGGGCAGGCATTTTCTCGCCGCTACCCTCGCCCGGACACTCCCGCTACATTAGTCCTGGCTTTGGATGCACAAGTCGCCCGCATTGTATATTCTGCTGACAGAAAGCCACCTCGTTCAGATGCTCGGCCGGATAGGCCTTAGTACCTGACGCAGCAGAAGCTGTTGAATGTGGTGGATCCCGCTGTGCTTCATTCTTGAGGTACAAGCAAAACCCTGACGTCGGTGAGCAAGGTCAGCAGATGATGAATCCAGGAGGCAGCTACGGCGGCACTGCGTCTCCCGGTAGATGCTAAACAGGCACTCACCATAAAACGACGTTCCATCTGTTTATCTAAGATCCACCGCAAGCTTTCTATCCTAGCCCCAGCAGATCTTGCTAACCCTGGCTAGTCAATATTTGGCTCTGCCCAGAACGAGCAGATAACTAAGTGAGCGGAACCGGACAATGCCTGGGCCGATGTACGTCATACGCTGCCTGCAAGTCATGGCCATGTGGCTGGAAAAGACAGACGGCTGCCAAGCTTCGAACAAGACAAGAGAAATAGCAATACCAAATGCTGCAAGCCTTCGGAGGCTTCGCCTCTGCCATTTTTTGAGGGAGAGGAGCCCGCAGGAATGGGTGGACCTCCGCAAGCCATGTCCTTCACCGTCCACATTACTCCAAGAAGCCGCAGTGTCAACCCTGGTCACACCAACAGCCCGACAGCAAGCACGGCCCTCCGAAGCCAAACAGCGCCTAATACGTTTCCTTCTAGAGGTGTGCTTGCAGGCACTACCACCAGAACTGCAGTGTGGATGCAGCCAGTTACCCAAGTGGGGTTTGGACTGGAGGTTGGCCGCCTCGGAGGTCCAGGGATTTCCGAGCGGCCTAATTGGTCGTCAGACCAGACGCTGGCGTCAGCTGACCGAAGACTCAGTAGTCACGCAATATGTGCGAAGGTTTTGCCTGGAGTTCAGTCAGGAACCAGTCCAGTGGTGGAAGCCACTCCCCAGGAAGATGTCCTAAGATTTGACAGCAGTGGTGACAGAGGAAGTGGAGGCACTGCAAGAAAAAAATGCCGGGGAAAAGGTGCCCCTGGCACACCTGGCTTTCTCAGCCCACTGTGTGTACCGAAAAAGAACGGTAAGATGCGCCCAGTGGCCGACCTGCGGGAATTGAACCGGTTTGTGCAATACCACCATTTTTATAATGCTCCACGGCAGTTCACCAAGCTCCTTTAACCCAGTGATCACCTGTCTCAACCAACAGGGTGTACGTCTGGTCGTGTACATGGACGATGTACTCATCATGGCTGGATCATTTCAAGAGGCGTTGCAGCATGCGCCCAATCTCATTCATCTGTTGCTGGCCCTGGGTTTCCAAGTCAACTTGATCAAGTCAGAACCTCAGCTCTTACAGGTGTTGGAGTTTCTGGGATTCCAGATCAGTTCATTAGCCATGACATTAGAACTACCTACGGACAAAGTCCATCGGACGTTGACAACTTGCCGGAGCTAAATTGCCCAGAGGCAGGGTACGGCTCGACGCCTTGCTAGCATCCTGGAGCTGATTTCCTCAGCAGCGCTCTCGATTCTTCCGGCTTTCCGAAGCAGCATTGGAGGATTTGTCTTGGTGTCTTCAGCACCTGGAGGGGTTCAACGGGCGCCCTATTTCTCTGCCAGTTCCAGACCTGGTCATGCAGACGGATGCAGCATCAACAGTTGGCTGGGGAGCAGTCTGTGGTCATCGCCATGCATCAGGACTTTGGACAGTGGCGGAGAAGCACATTCATATCAACTGCTTGGAACTACGTGCAGCCTTCTTTGGTCTACAATCAATAGCAAAGGATCTTAGAACCCTCACCACAGCGGCAACTGCTCTGGCCGGTTGGCTGAAGTCTCGAGGCCTCATCTTGAACGCCGCCAAGAGCCAGGTTTTGACTATATCTCCCCAGCAGCATGTACAGGAAGTAACAGTCAAAAGCGGCGATTGTCTCCTCCCTTCAGCGTCTTCTGTGCGCTACCTCGGCGTTCACCTTGACAATCGCCTAGATTGGGACACCCATGTTGGTGTGATATTGTATGTACTTCAGAGGACAGGGATCAATTGTATCACATTATTCATACAATTGGCACGCTCATTTAGCTAGCGCTAATATGTAGTCTGTAGCGCTAATACATGTATGTAGTCTGTACATAAGGCACTTTCCTTATGTACGTTGATTCGTTTTATCTCTAGTTGGTGGAACATAACATGGCGCAGTGACCCGAACCAACGTGCTATTGCAGCAATGGACGCAGAAGGTGGAGAAGCAACCAAGATGGACGGCGACTTGGCCCACAGCGAAGGTGAACCAGTTTCAAGGCAGGACTACACCCTCGTCCGATTGGCGCAACTGATCGCTGATCAAGCACAGCAGGCTTCTGCCCGGGATGACCGAATGGTGGCGCTGCTAGACGCTGTGCTGAGCCAGGATGCAAGAGAACCCCAGAGGGCAAGTCAGCCCACAAAGCAGACCTCCATCAATGTTGAACGCCCAATTTTGGACGCTACCGCCACCTTGGCAGATTTCACGACGTGAAAAGAATCGTGGGAGGACTTTGTACGCTGCCAGCACCTCAGGTCCCAGGACCGAGACACCAGAGTGGCAGCACTGAGACAGTCCTTAGACGAGGAACTCTGGCGGTTTATCCGCCAAGACATAATCTGTATTTCCGAGGAGGACGATGATGACGCTATCATTGGGGCGATAGAGGCGTTTGTAAGACGACGTCGTAACCCTTTACTGGACAGATTGGAGTTCTACAATTTGAAACAAGACGATAATGAGTTGTTCGACTCCTTCCTGACGGTGTTGAAGGAGCTTTACAAGGCTTGTGACTTCACAGTTGGAGAGTTCTGCACTACTTGCACACGTAGCCTCCGTCGACATGGCCAATGCTGGTCGAGCGTCCAGAGGAGAGGCCAGGAGACATTGCGCGACAGGCTTATGGTTGGCATTCGTGATGATGACACGAGGCATAGGCTTCTGTCCACCCCAGCCCTGATGCTGGAGGATGCCGTTCGGATATGCAGGGCTGAGGAAGCTGCCAAAGCCACCCAGCAAGATATGCCACAAGCGTAAGTCGGCCGTGCACAGGCATTGCGCAAAACTCGGTACCAGCGGAGCAAGCAGTCACAGTCGATCAGCAATGCGTCTTCTACTCGCAGTCATGGACCACAACCGAGTGGCAAACCGCCTGTTCGAAAGCAGGAGGGAGGCAACCAGCCTAGAGCCAAGTGTCCTAAGTGTGGATATGACTCCCACCCGCTCACCCGATGTCCCGCCCGAGAGAAGACCTGCAATTCGTTTGGTGAGAAGGGACATTTCCAGAGAAGATACCCAGCGGATGCACCCCAGCTTGGTCACTTGCGGCTGGAAGTCGCAAACTTCAGCGGCAACAATGATCACATCGAGATACCAACGTGCCTGGACAACCATGACCCAAGGTCAGCAGCGAAGCTCAGATGGCTTTCCGATACAGGCAGTGACGCCGATGCAATAAGCCTGGATGGACTTCGGAAACTGGGAGGCAAGGAATGTGACCTTGTCC